TTTGGGCAATCAAAAAATATATTATAATCAATGAACTTTAATATTTGTTTAATGAAATGTTAAATTATTTCATAACAAGCATTACATACTTGTGAGTAATTGAATTTATTTAAATTAACGTCTATTAAACTTATTAAGTTGGTCGACTAACAAATTAAATTAACAAATTAAATATAACATAGACATTAAATAAATATTAATTTCAATCACATCAATTTACTTTAGTTTTATTGATCTAATTTGAGATATAATTCACTGCAGCAATTTATTACAATAAACATAAATAAAATTATATTAAAAATCATAAATTTAGTAATCAAGACTCTGATAACACATGTTTGAAATTCATATTTGAACTTTATGACACAAATTCCAAAAATACATAATAGTATGACATTTATTTTGATAACTTAAGTTATTAATTTTCTTAACTCCTAACTTATGTCATAATTTATGATAACTTATGATATTTATTTTTGTAACTCATGATAACTTAAGTTATTAATTATCTTAACTCATAGCTTATGTCATAACTTATGATATTAATTTTATAACTCATGTAATCCCTTAAATGAATAAGAGTTACTAACATATGTCATTGATTTTAATAATAAAAAATCAAATAATTTATCAAATTATCATAAATCCTATTGGTTTGTAACCCTCTTGATGGATGGTAGTTAAATAGAACATGATTTAGAGAATGAGTCATCTCTCTTCCTAACACACCCCTTGCATTTCCCTTCATCAAAAAGTACAAAAAGTTTCAAGGGATTAGATAGAGAAACTTCATCTCTTCAAGATCAAATTTCTTCATCATAAATACATGTATACATTACTTTATTTTAGATATGTAAAAATCATGAATTTAAAGTTATCAAAATTAATCTCATAAGTTATTAAAATAAATGTGAGCCATAAATAAAAAAATAACAAAAGGAGGTGACAATTGAGAAATTGAAGGTATGATTGGCTTCATTTGAATTTATGAAGGTTGAGATAAGGGTGAGCTACCCCATGGGCAATTCAGATGAAGATGTGGGTGCAGAGGATTGATGCTCTATGCTATGGTCTCCAAGTTGGAGATTGTTATGGTGTGGAGCTGAAGCAAGGTGGCAGAGCACCCGCCACATATGCGTCGGATTGTTGGCACATATGCACCAACATGGGCACGATCCAGAGGTGCTGGTGCATATGTGCCCACTTTGTGTGGGCACGACAATGAAGGGTGCGGTTGGCATGGGGAATCTGGTTTTAATCACCATTTAAAGCGACATAAGAATGGCTTGGGGTTTCTTCCTCCGGTATTCTTCGATGAGCATTTTGGTGAATGTGAGAAATGTCGAAGAGGTGAGTTTCGATGATTCAGAGTGATTTTTTTGTCGGATCGGAATGGGAAGACTGTGGAGCGAGTCATGTAAGTTTCATTGTGTAGAGAGAAAACTGGTGTGGTTTGTAAAAATTTTCTAAATTTCATAGTGGAATTTCTAGTGGTGTGGCTCCATGATTATTTTCTTTTTTTTGGGTTTTTGCACGTAATATTCTCGTGTGCATTTCTGGTTGCTTTGATTATGCTTTCTATTTAATTTTTTTTGTCCCAACTTTCTCGAATTGGTGCAATCATGTTATTCTGCGGTATGGTTTAGTTTCCAATAGATCCTAAGCCCTGACAAAGTTGAAAATTGTTCTTTGAAATTTTGTATTAAATATTATATTACCATTTTTTATTTATCCTCAAATCAATCCTAACTAACATTCACAGATAGATCTATCATCATATTTTAAATATTATTAAATGGCTCTATATAATTTTTCACATTTTAAAAGAATTGAAAGACTATTTTATGGGCTCAATTAGTTTTTTATGGGATTTTTATTTAAAAGTCTCGAGATGGTGGTCTAAATTTGACCTAGGTTAGGGTCATACTCGAATGCTAATAAGCCCCTGTCTTAAATTCAGGTTTAACACAAGCATCATCTTTGTATCTTAGTTATTATCATTAAGCAATATTTACTTTTTATGGATTATACGATTCTCATATGATTGTCACCTTTAGAAATATTATTTAATCCCTTCCACTATATTGTGCTTCCTAGCTTGTTTTATCTCAACTCTCTTCATCTCGTGAGTCACTTAGTCATTTGATCTTTTTCGTCATTGAGAAGTGTGATATATACTTTAGAAAAGCCTTTATTTCGAACCCCAGACAAACATGAACAAACATTCATAATCAATAGTTTCTTACCATAACTATGTACATATGAAATTAACTAAATCACCCAAAATAATTAACATGATCTATTATCATTATATGTCAAATAGAGAAAATCTATTGGTATATTTAAGCAACTTACATATACTTCTATATTTCGAGTCAACTTGGTGAATTGGCACCTATATCTCGAGACAAAATGATCCCCAGCCGTTAAAATACTCAAGATTACAAATATTATGTAACTCATCTATCTCTCATTATTCTCGTGAATATAAATATGCATCCATTGATCTGTTATCACCAATCGGGGTAGTCTCTTATCATCATCACGAACTCTTTAAACCCCACAAGTGTCTCAAAGAAATATTCCTCCAACAAGATTATTGAACCTTTTCTATAAACAATATATTCTAAACATCCCAACTAACTTTAGGCCATTTCTAATACCCAACTTGTATAAATCTAAATAAGCCTATAACATTAGGTGATGTTAGCTAATCCACTGAAGTCCAATGTTAAATGTGCCCACAAAAATTTAGAAATGCCTGTTTTCTAATGATTGGGCCGCCCAAACAAAGCAATTTCTATTAAGAATCACAATCATTGAAGAATAAAGCTTGTATTAAACAAGCAATCAATCAAAACCATTGCTACAATGGAAGATTCCAGTGCTTTCGTGAAATAAAAAATTGACCATTTTAAACTTTAAAAACTTAAATTGCAGTTTAAGTGTTAGATATGTAAATACAAAAGAATTAAGTGGTATGCATGTAAATCTTTTTCTCTTATGCTTATTACAAATTTTATGGGTAAATTACTCTTAAAGTATTCAAAAGTAACAAGCACGCAAGAAAAGGCTCATGTAATTTCGCATGCCTTGATCAATTCATTTAAATTTTAATAACGCCAAAATTTATATATTATAATTTTATTGTGCTTCCTAAAATTTTGATGGCATTTATAATATATATATATATATATATATATATATAAATTCTAAT